AGCTAGCCTACAACATATGTAGTGCTAGTTCAGTCTACTGTGGCGCCACATCTCCAGCGCACTTGCTGCTTACCTAATATACCACTAAAACAGTGGATTAAGAATCTGAAGCTGGAGGCTGGGATTGCACCAAAGTTTGAGCAAGAACAAACTCGCAACAGATATCAAAATGCCCTCAAGCCTCCACGTTTAGTGAACGTCTGGGACCTCTGGCTTACTGAATATAGCCAAGCTGCAATAGAAGCTGAGATGCTGAACGTACTAGAGGTTTCCTAGATTAATATCATAACTGCAGACTTTACGTCAGCAGTAAATAAGATCGCTCCCATCTAGGCTGCAACCTTCCAAGCTACTGGAAAGGATCAACCTAGCTTAAGCCGGAAGGACATGATGAGACGGTTTCGAGAGTATATGACACTAAATCATCCAGTCACAAGAGGAAGAAGCCAGAAGGCAGCCTTTATGATGGAGGAATCGTCATACCTCGCTAGTAATCACCGATCTACCCAGCCAGAAGGGGACGCCCAGCAGGCTACTATGGGGAACTCTTAGAGTCGTAAACGGGGCAGACCCCTTTATCAACGTACAGCTGAGGATGACCAAGATCCCTCACCCAGCTCATTAAATTATCAAAGTCGTGGTAGACTAGTAAGCGCTGGCGCTAGATCACAGTCCCTAGATAGCGCTAGACCCGCGCCAAGTAAACTGGCAAGCACCAAGGTTAGATCACCGTCTCAAGGAAGCACCAGAGCTCGAAAAATCACAGCTCCCTGTCCCGCGTGCGACGGGAGCCACTCACTTTACTAGTGCTTCTACTTAGATCAGAAGAAGGCACCTAGTTGGTGGAAGCTAAATTAGATTATTTGGAATTTAATTGAACGTAAAAAGGAAAATGACCTTGAGTTTTAGAGTCTCATAAGAGCCTAAAGTCGGCCAAGGACAAGATCTCAAACCTATAAGCAATCTCAAACTCCCTAACCAGAAATCGAAGATCAGTGACTAAATGGTAGACAGATAACCCAGATCAAGGCAGTATTCGCTGCAGCCTTCGTGTCAAGCCGAACGGACTACCCTCTGCGTCACTCGTTCATACTCGATTCGGGGACAACGTGTCATATTACCAATGACCCTGACCAAATACACTACTACAAGCCACCAAACAATGGAGATTTTGTATGGGCAGGCAATAGTCAGATATGGATCATGGGATATGGCACGATAATACTCAACCTTACACACAAACAGAGGCCTAGGAAGCTCGTACTTGAAAATGTGGCAATATGCCTAGATCTACTATGCAACCTCGTCTCTTTCCGGAAACTCCGGCAAACAGGAATATGGTGGGACACTAAATCAGAGCCTACAGCCCTTAAGAGACTTGACGGAACAACAATCTGCGAGCTCTTAGAGCGTTTTGGCTAGTGGGTACTTAATACCCACAAAATCTGGGTGCTTGACACACCTGGATTCTGTGCCCAACTAAATCACCAAGCACTCCACACCCACAAGCATACCTCAAGCACCAAGAAACCACCTCAGCGAGCAACTGCGATACTCTGGCACAAGCGTCTAGGTCACCCAGGCCCAGCAGCCATAGAACATCTCATGCAGCAAGCTTAGGGGGTGAGGATCAAGGGCATTACAACAGTGGAGTGCAATTCATGTGGAAGAGCAAAAATCCGCAGACAGATAAGCCGCGCTCCTCGGACAAATAATCAAGGACCTAGTGAAAGAATAGCGATCGATTTCTATAGCTATGAGAAACAGTCCTATAACAAGGAATTATCACAGCTATTAATCACAGACAAATACTCAAGATTTCAATGGGATTTCTATCTCAAAGACAATCGAACAGCCAAATCAATCATCAAGATACTCACCAACTTTGTCAAATTCCTCCAAACTCAATACAATATCACGCCAAAAGTCGTCGAGACGGACAACGAGATCGCGACTGTCAAACCTGAAGTAATGCGCTGGCTCCAAGCCCAGGGGATTGCTGCCGAGCCCTTAGCACCAGACACTTAAGCACAAAATGGTGGCGCTGAACGCTCAGGGGGTGTGAATAAGGAGAAGGCGCGCGCAATGCGGCTAGACGCCAATCTACCATAGGAGCTTTGGCCAGAGATCACTCGGGCCGCAGTGTACCTATACAACCGAACGCCAAACTACGTTAATTAATGGAAGACGCCGTATGAAGTCTTCTTCACCCATGCATCCCAAACAAATGGGATAGCTACATCTAAGAAGCCAAGAGTGGCTCACCTCAAGGCATATAGGTGCAAAGC